CGAATAATTATGTGTTCTCGTTCGATGATCACTAATTTCCAAAGTCTTTTCTCATTCAAGCAATTATTCTCCTGCTCTTGTTCAATAAAAAATAATGAGTTTTGATTGATAATGTTTTAGCAACTCCTCCACGTTCTTCACTATTCAGCATGATTAGTCGTATCGATCTAAAAATAACTACCAAGATTAGCACTAACAAATCCTATCTTGAATGTGCTTGCCTTGTGAATATGTATACACAACAAATAATCTTTATGGCTCGAACATGATCAGTCAGCTCCATTGAGTTTGACATTGAGAAAAATCAATATCATGTAATACATCAATAGTTCTTGAAAATGTACCAAGTCAAATATGTTTGATGAGTCTTTTCGTTGAAATCGTAACCGAATTGTTTTTTTCAATTGGTTGTCGTTTACCTTCAGTTGGGTTAGTTGAATTTTGTACGGGTGCAGGCCTACACGACGCAAAATTTGCCAAGTTGTGGCCTGTAAAAGGCCAAGTTCTTATGAGCGACGCAAAATTGACTTCCTCGGATTCTCCTACAAACTCTCACAGACAGCGCCGATGTTTTCGGCAGATCTTGCGTTTCGTCCACGTACGAGTGTTGATCGATCGTTTATTGAATCAGTGCATTTTCGCCAAAGTAACACCAGTCGATTATATCGGAGAGCATAAAAATTTGATGCTCGGGATTCGATGAAATCGACGAGGGTCATTTTTGTCTGATCCTGATTGGCGAAGGTTCTACCGGTAAGTTATCAGTGCTTGGAAAGATGTGAGTTGGTTGGCGACAGGTCTGGAGAGTATGGTGGTTCGACGCTCAATTCGTTCAATTTTCGGACGGTGATTTCTGGAACGTGCGGACGGGCCTTGTCGTGAAACAGAATCGGACCTCTTCTATTGACCAGTGCCGGCCGCTGCTGACGCAATTTTCGGTACATCTCATCGATGTCCTCACAATAGGCCTTCACCGTGATGGTTTGGCCCGGTTGCAGAAATTTATAGCCAATCACACCTGCTGCTGACCACCATACAATATCCATAGTCTTTTTTAACGACTTTTCGCCTTTGGAAAGTGCTAAGATGGCTCATTGGTGTTCAATAACTGTGCTGAACGTCTCCTGTTTTCGTAAAGGATCCGCTTAAAAAGATAATCGTTTTGGTTGCGCAAGGCAAAGAAGAACAAGCCTCGAAACGTGACAACTTCTGTCAATCGTTGAAATCGTGGGACACCCAATTTTTGAGCTTTTTCAACTTTCCAATACGTTTAAAACCATAAAAAAACCCATGTGAGCTGACGCAGAGTTCTTCCCCATACCACGCACCGTTTGTGATGTGTCAGTCTCCTCCAGGGACCTCAATTCCTCGTCCTGGATTACTATAGGCCGACCACTTCGGAAAGCATCTTCGAGGCTAAAATCTACAAAACGAAAGTTCACGCTATCATTGCCAATTGCCTGGTTAATTTTTCGTTCTGCTTCGGCAGCGCTTTGGTTCAATGTGAATTTGTAGGAAAAAATGGCCGACAATCGCTTAACGACAATGAGCTGAAAAATTCTTATTTGGAAAAAATTAACATCAATGTATTAGATTTCAAACAGATAGTATCAGTATCACGGCACAGCAGAATGAATATTCATTGAGATATGCAACTATAAGAAGACATGTCCTTCAAACGGACGCAACTTTTGAAGCAACCTGAATATTATCAACATTACACCTATTATTTGACTTATCTCATAATTCATTACTATTTCAAGTCACTGGAAGGTTGTGAGTTCGATCCCAACCTCAACCAGATATCTCTCTCTCTCTCTCTAGTATATCATAATGTTTTTGACTGATTATTTTCTTTGAAATATAAATACGATATATATTTGAATACAATTTTTGTAATAAGACTTGCTACAAATGTAAACTTACATGAACGTAGTCAAATAAAATATGTCCATGTCTACTGTGTCTTTACAAAGATGGAGTGGTAAAAAGCCAAAAACTTTCTTTTCCAAAGATATTAGGGTCTTCTATTAAGCGCTTCTTATCTTCAAATTTAAATTAAACGTTTGAAGGACCTATTTATGGCAATATGTGTGGAACATCGTTCAAATATCCGCCACTGCTTTTCTTGATGGAGCGCATCCGAAACGTTCAATTTCATATGACTCTGGCGCATAAATCAGGCTGAATTTAACCGATAGCATGGGTTATGTTAGCTTTGAGGACCGCTGTGTTTTGTGGCTTATTCGCATACACCTGCGAGTTGTTCTTTCGAATAATTTGATTTACAGTCAGTCTTCAACTATGCCCCCTTACTACATGCACAGAATAAAACGTCTAACGGAGTCGAATCGTTCGATCTCGCTGGTCAGATCACATCACCTGCACGTAAAGGTGCGTATTCACCAAAAAAGCGAGCACGAGCGAGCATGAACGAGCATTCGTGTATGTTTGCTTCAAGTTCGTAGTCGTAGTCTAATTTGTGCGAGCACTATTTGATGTACCGCCTTCTTCTCGATATTTTCTGAACGCGAACAAACATACGTTCGCTCGCTCTCCCGCTAGCCCGTACTCACCAGACGATTATTGATGCAGAATGCTCGTTCACTCTTGTTTGCTCGTGTTCGCTCGTGCTCGCTTTTTTAGTGAATACGCACCTTAAGATGAGCATACCCTCAAATCGCTCGCGCAGAATGTCCAATATGGCACGAGCTGTGTGGCACGTAGCGCCGTCCTGTTGAAACCACATGCCGTAGATGTCCAGATCATCTAACTCAGGCCACATGAAGTTGGTAATCATCGACCTATAGTGCTCGCAGTTGACAGTTATGGCCTGGCCAACATCATTCTCAAAGAAATGTGGACCGATGACGCCGCCAGCCCATAATTTGGGCTGGCGGCGTAAATTGGGATCAGTTGCCAACTGCTCCAGATCCCATTCAGCGAACACACGTCGTTTGTCTATGGTCGTTTACCTTCAGTTCCTGGTTTAGTTGAATTTTGTACGGGTGCAGGCCTACACGACGCAAAATTTGCCAAGTTATGGCCTGTAAAAGGCCAAGTTCTTATGAGCGACGCAAAATTGACTTCCTCCGATTCTCCTACAAACTCTCACAGACAGCGGCGATGTTTTCGGCAGATCTTGCGTTTCGTCGACGTAGGGGTGTTGGTCGATTGTTTATTGAATCAGTCCATTTTCGCCAAAGTAACACCAGTCGATTATTTCCGAGAGCATAAAAATTTGATGCTCGGGATTCGATGAAATCGACGAGGGTCATTTTTGTCTGATCCTGATTGGCGAAGGTTCTACCGGTAAGTTATCAGTGCTTGGAAAGATGTGAGTTGGTTGGCGACAGGTCTGGAGAGTATGGTGGTTCGACGCTCAATTCGTTCAATTTTNAGAACACAATATGGAAGGAAAAGTCAAAGCATCGGGATTTCCTTGGCCAGATCATCTAGCCACGCAGTAGTTACCAGAAACCTGCAACAGTACCTACGCAAAGAGACTACAGGAGTGGGCCAGCTTCTGGAAGATTAACGTTAACTCCGACAAAGGCAAGTTAATGGACGTCTTTTCACGATGAATAGTTAATGGATGTCTCCTGGATTCCAAGAGGAGGATATGAGCATTCAACCGACAAAAAATCACATACTGCCTCCCAATAAGTATTAAAACATAGACACTCACATGTGAGCTTGTTACAATCACATATACATTACCTGCAATACAACACACCTGTGACCAGTCAATAATAGCTAGACCACCACGCAAACACTACATATAGTAGAGCCACTCATGTAACGAAAAACAGAAAACACGAAGTGAAAAAATGCTCTGAAGTGCCAAGCAGTTGATTGAGGATCCTTCGAAAAAGTGAATAGTTATATAAAGATTCTAGCTTCTGTACATGAGGGTGGTATAATTTGATTGAAACCCGTCGCAAGTCTCATCGCCTTTCTCAGATCTCGCAAGTAATACTGATGGATTCATCATGGCTAACCAAGAAAATGTCTAGAACGTTCAGTCTGATGTGGCTTCATGCTAGTTATGGGAGTTCCTGAACAAGATACATGGACTGAGAGTCAGCCGACATGAGAGCTGGAGATATCCCTTTACTCCACATAAAAATGAGAATTCCATTAGGGATTCCAAATAATGCCATTTGACTTTTTCTTTCCTGGGGTCAAGATTATCTTCACGGCCCAAAATTTCCCAACTTTTTCCCAAGTTCAAAAAGCAGGGGGGAGACTCCCCCCATCCCCCCCATGGCGACGGCCCTATGTGTCGTATATTCATGTGTTGTTGCCAGATTGTGATTGAAATCTGATTTGAACACTTTATTCAGAATTCATTCGATTTTACTAATTTTATGAAATTGTTCAACTACTTTTCCATTTCGAACCTAGCGTTGCTTTTTATGATGAGGTGCAATACCTAACCTAACCTAACCTAAAGTATAATATATAAAAAACTCTGAAAGACAGATTCATCAAAGAAGAAAATTCCGTGGATAAGTGTCACTGTTTCCCGAGTTTTTTGGCAGTTCAACATTTTACAACGTGAAAAATAAATGAATCCAGTGACGTGGAATAGGACAAAATACATATGCATATTTTTTTAATGATTCAGGGGTTTTGAGGTCTTGAAAAAATGTTGTCGCATTCGTGTGGAAAGTGGTACCTTCCAGTACGATAAATCATTGAAAAAAGTACTTTTCCACACACAAATAGTAAAAAATAGTATTGCACAACTGTGAAAGAATTGTTTTCTTTCGTAGAAGCTCATGATCCTTTTTGACCAGACTATGGTATCGCATCATTCGCATCTCGTACACAATGCTAGAGAATCTCGTCGATCTCTATCCTTGTCCCACTCCCGGTTCGGTTCTCGAAACTGCCTTCCACTTCTGCATTACGGTCTCGCAGTGGAGGCTATCAAAGGAGGGCGTCCAATGGCTGTCACCCGAGCTCCATCCCCACCCCACAGTCGTTTGTAAGCTTGAGTTCGTCGAGTGCACCTTGTCGTAGTTGGCTTCGAGCGTACGTTTAAATACACGGTATAAGAAATTACTGCCAAAAACAATTAACAACATAATCAATTAGTGAGAGTGTGGTGCTTCAACAGTCGCGATGTTTGACGTGTTCGGCTCCGTGAAGGGGCTACTGAAAATCGATAGCGTATGCATCGACAACAATATTTTCCGTCTGCACTACAAAGCCACAGTGATAATTCTCGTTTCTTTTTCGCTGCTCGTTACGAGCAGGCAGTACATAGGGGACCCCATAGACTGCATCGTAGACGAAATTCCCCTAAACGTAATGGACACTTACTGTTGGATTTATTCAACGTTTACGATACCGAATCGAATGACCGGCCGGATAGGAACCGATATCGTGCAACCCGGGGTGGCGAGCCATGTGGACGGCAAAGACGAAGTGAAATATCATAAGTACTACCAGTGGGTGTGCTTCGTGCTTTTCTTTCAAGCGATGCTCTTCTACGTGCCGCGCTACCTGTGGAAGACATGGGAAGGCGGCCGCATCAAGATGCTGGTCCTTGACCTCAACTGTCCCATCGTCTCCGACGAATGCAAGAAAGACCGAAAGCAACTGCTCATCGACTACTTCACCACCAATCTCCACATGCAGAACTTCTACGCGTTCCGGTTCTTCATATGCGAGGTGCTGAACTTTATCAACGTTGTAGGTCAGATATTTTTCATGGACTATTTCCTCGATGGCGAGTTCAGCACGTACGGCAGCGACGTACTCAAATTCACTGAGATGGAGCCCGAAGAACGAGAAGATCCTATGGCGAGGGTGTTCCCGAAGGTAACCAAATGTACCTTCCACAAATACGGTCCTTCTGGATCGGTGCAGAAGTTCGATGGACTCTGCGTCCTTCCACTGAACATCGTCAACGAGAAAATCTACGTTTTCTTGTGGTTCTGGTTTGTAATACTCAGTGTTTTGTCCGGAATTTCCCTCCTGTACCGTGCAGCCGTCATCCTCGGCCCCAAAATCCGCCTGTACTTGCTCAGAACCAACTGCCGCATTGCCGCCTCCGACCAAATCGAAACCATCTCCAACAAATGCGAAATTGGAGACTGGTTCGTTCTTTACCAGCTGGGTAAGAACATCGACCCTCTCATCTTCAAAGAGGTTATATCCGACCTATCGAAAAAGCTAGAAGGCAAAGAGATTGTGTAATCGAGTGTTTGTTTTTTATCGTGCCTTTCGAACAATATTTGGAATATTTGCTTAGCGATGAGGCGTTTACATTCGATAATCGGAAGGATGTGTAGACGCTGCGATCGATACTCCAGTATGACTCTAACCGAAGGACCAATGTAAAGTTCTGTGATGGCAGAAAAGACTGTAACTTCCGGCCAACAGCCTCTAGGTTCGGCTGTGATAAATCGTTTCTATTTCTAATGGTACAATAGCTCAATTAGGTCATTCCAAAATGCTTTTATCTCCTTTCCTCGTCCACTGCCAAATGCATTTCCGGCGGTCACTACAGAAACAGGTATATTGATTCAGAGAACCGATTTCGCAGCTGCTACTTGCCGGAATTTACGAGACAAATTAAAGAGGGCCGTGAAACCACCGGGACGATATTTTAAAAAGTATTTTCTGTGATATTTTTCATATCCGAGAGAAGCAAATTTACAGTTTTATTCGCTGATATACCCAAGTATATTATCGTAATACGACAAAGACTGACGAAATTCCGCACTAAAGACATTGACAATGATATTTTATTATAATAAATTTTATTGCCCTACAATTTGTTGCTCTAGCAGCTGGCGAAATCGCTCTCTCTGTGATACCGTGATGATCTGACAAACGAGAATGAAGAAGTGCTTTTTATTTTATTATTGTTTGTAATTGTTCGATCAAATATCTTCAATTTAATTCATATGTGATGTTTAGAATATAGTTTAGACTAAGTTCCATACGTACAATTCCAAGTGAGCCGTCACGAAAACACATTCACTTTTTATAAAATATTTTGTATAAAAATGTGTGTTGAGACTATTATATGGTTATATATTGTATATTATAGATTTTTAAAGTGAAACGCCATCAGTGCCTTTTGAATTTTGTATGGAATTATATTTGAATGACGACAAATTAAGTGTTTTAATGTTTCGATAGGTTATTTTGAAGCGATAAATTCGTTCAAAGTCCAAGTTCAGATCTACACTGACACAGATGGGCGAAGATCCTTTCTGTAAATAAACTATCTATAATTCAAGTTTATGAACAAACAAACTCGACAATAATCTGGACTTTGTTTATTCTTGATATGAAAGTTTAATTCTTTCGGAACAAATATTGATATTGACTGCACTGGGAATTTCTTTGAAATTAAACTAACTTCTAACCCTGAAATTACATTCGTAGAAATATATTACAAATTTGGTATTAGTCCGGGGGTCTTGCTTCAAAATAAAGAAAATGCAGAAAGTGAAAGGGTAGAAATTTTCCACATTATTTTCACAAATGTTGAATATGTAATATCAGTATATATTTTCTCAGAATAATTAGTGGGGTATTTCAGTACTTTGCAATTTGAAAAAAGGAAAATTAAGAAGCTCAAAAGAGAATCTGCACAAGTGAAGTGACATGTAAACTGGAAATTTCACTCTCCAAAATTGGCTGGAAATACAGAAGTCTAGACTTTTTTCAGAAGTAATTTCAGTTGATTGTAGTGGTTAAATGCGGTTTGATGTTGTTCTTGAAACGGTAAGTACAATCAAATTGACAATTCAACATGAATAAAATTATAGTACCTATCTATTTCTTTTTCAATACTAGTAAAAATAATTGAAGAAAATAACTGTCTGAAAGGCTTTGTATATTTTTTATGTCAGAATTCTTTCAATGTTAGTCTCAATTTCAAACCATTCACCTTTTTTAACTGTAAATTAAATATTTGTGAATGAGATATAAAAAAGATATGGAATTAAGGAATAATATAATGAAGTAATTGAATTCAACAATCTATTGAGTAAACTGAGATTTATACAAAAAAAAACAGACAATAGTAATGATATGTGTATTAATCTCAATGACAGTATAAAACAATGATATGAATGTATAATTGTGCACTGACTAAGAGACAATTTATTTGAGTTCCACAGTGAACAAAAATCCAAATTTCTTGCCAAATCTATAGAAAACGTATCGATTAGTTCACCGAAAGTTCTAATATTTGGCGAAGATCTGAATTTATTCATCTAGTTTGCTGAAAATTTTGAACCACCAAAGGATTTTTTTCAATTATTGCACATTTACTATAAAATGTTTCTAGAACTAATCGAATGCTGATGCTGACTGTTGAAAAAATCCGTTTTTGATTATTTCATACATAGATGTTAGTTCAATAATTTATAGACCAGCATACAGAATCAATAATGGTAAATTATCACAACCACATGGGTATAATTTTGGTGCAGGTTCAATATTTTCAAAAATGCTCCTATAGAACATTACATAAAATTAGCCCAGTCAATGTCATATATTTTTCTTTTATTAGGTTTGTGTACTTCCTGTGAGAACTGACTCCCTTTTGAGACATTGATAGCGTCTGAGCAAGCTATCAAAGAGCCATTAATACAGACTGCTTTCCAAGCGGAAAGAATTTCGACCAATTTTACTGCAAAATAATGTTTTATGTGAATCACATGATTCTTGAATTGATGTTAATACATTCTCAATTAGGAAACACTGACAAGCCAAACTGGTGTAAATACACTTATTATCTTACAAATAAGGGCCACTGTCTAGTTAATTGAAGTATTAATTCTGCGTAATCATTTTGTAGTGTCTGTTTTCGAATCTATCGTTATTCATAAGCTTCTTTGTATGAAATTGTTGAATAATTTCGAATTTTGAAACCTTCATCGAATATCTTCAGTAGCACAGAATTTTAAAAATATTACAGATGGTTTCAAAAGTAAAAACATGAATTACTCAACTGTCTACATATAGTAACAACTGCTATACTTATATGTCAATGATTCATTTAAATGCATAAAACAATAAGACAGTTGACCGGCATCATTTTTTCAAGATTTTTTCACTTTTAATATCGTGAATTGAATATTTTTGGTTCAGGAGTACATAATAGATCTTCATTTACAATATAGTTGCATTTGAGATAAACAAGTGCTTGTGTAAGGCAACACAAGTTATTTTTTTTTGGTTTTATTGGTTTTGATGGTGCTGCTATCTGTGGACCATAATACGAACTCCTTGAAAGTGACATATCGCCATATCCGTTTTCATAATGAATAATAATTTATTTCAGTGTATATTTGACTTATTCTAATAAAATCTTCATTTTCTCAAGAAGTTGATTATGTAGCATAGTCCCTTATCTTACTAACGCAAGCATTTGTTTAGTATCTGAGTAAAGCAAATCACTGGGGTAGTCATATTTTTCACCAATATGATTCTCAGGAAGTACCTCTGAGTTTTTTTTGCATCTTATCCCATCCGATACAACATCGGTTACAAACAAATATACATAAAAATGAAGCTAATATAAGCGTGTTAATAATATTACGTTTGAAATCTAGAATAGCCACTATTCTTTTATTTTACATTTTATAACGCAGCTTTTTCTACAAAATGATTTATGTGATGATCTCATTCGAGATGACTATCTAGATTAATCCAAGATATTTACATATTTTTTTAGGTTTGTGTAAGACCCGTAACTATTTGAAATTTTTGAGTTCTAAGAAGGATATCAGTACTTTTCAAATGTTTTTATATCTCATATGTATGGAATGAGTTTAACGATTTTGAATGATTTTTTTGAGAATTTTCTTTAGCAGTTTTGATGTGAATACTTTCGCCTGTCACAAATTGAAAAAATAAGAGTTTATTCAGAGAAGTACATGCAGGTAGATAATTTAATTATGTATTTCAGTTCGATAATGTATTGGGTAAACACAATACACTATACTGTCGAAAAAAATTATTTCGTTCATTTAATTTTGACTATTGAAAATAAGGAAAAATGTTATACATGTGTATCTAATCAATATATGCCAGACATAAATCCGCTTCCGCCATCAGATCCACGAAACAAATCAAAAAGAACAAAATAGTGTCCTTTGAAAGACATTTTCTGTGAAGGACTCAATGATTAATTATACATTATAGTAAGATCAATTTTGAATGCAACGGAGAATGTCTTTTTTGAATTGTTTGAACGTTAGAAAAAATATATTTACAATAGGAACATTATTAATACTTCTAGATATAGTAGCTATGGCTATGAAAATGATGCAGTGTATTTGAAACTGGGATATGAAATGTGCTACAGAATCTAGATGAAATACGCGGTACACTAAACAGCATTTTCGACAATAGAGGCGAGCAATCTATCTGTCTATCTATGTAGGTATTATTTTATATGCAAAACACATAACTCAGCTTTGCCTGAATTTTTTTAGAGATATCATTTGGAATTCGTCCAAAAATGAATCATAGCTATAACCTCTCTCGGTCCAATAATATATTTTTCACAGTTTGTGGAAGGTGAATACTCAAAAAAGGCACTCACAAAAATTAGAAAGATTGGGAAAATATGTTGGCCAAACTAAACGAGTACTTAAAACTAGTTTCAAAGACCACATACTACGTTTTAAATTTCGTAGACCAGAGTAATAGTTATAGTAACAGAGTAATAGGTACTTTATGAAGTTGAGAAAAATTACAAAGAAATTTGTGCTGGATTGCAATATTTTGATCCATTTGGTGAGTAAAGATTGCATACATTAAATATTTCATAGTTCAGTATTTTCAAAAAACTGAAGAAAACAGAGTAATAGGTACTTTATGAAGTTGAGAAAAGTTACAAAGAAATTTGTGCTGGATTGCAATATTTTCTTCCATTTAGTAAGTAAAGATTGTATACAAGTAATATTTTATAGTTCAGTATTTTAAAGAAACTGAAGAAAACATTGTTGACGGTGTGAAAGGATTTCGTTCAATTTATTTATACAGCAATAATAATAATTGAAGGGGCTTAAACAAAATTTTGAATCATCTAGTAAACGATAGATAGGTAACTAGAAAGTGAACGAACGAGGAAATGGATGATGTTTGAAATGTTCACCACTTTGCATAGATTTGTTACCAAAAATGTTGAAGATGTCCCAGTGACTACAAAACGTCTAATTTCGAATCTAAAAGCAAAAAACAAAAAATCTGATTTTTTTTAAATGAAAGTTCAGTAATACAGGGTGTAACATAAGTACGTTGAAATATTCGAATGATGTATTCCTTAGATAAATTTGTTTCCAAAAATGCTTGGTTTCGGAGATGCTGGCTATTGAAATTGAATATATTGTTTGTTTTTAGAAAATAATATATCCAAAAAACAAGTTATTTGCATAAAATTTGGTACCCAGGGTTTTATGACGTATTAATTTTCTTGTGACATCTAGAGGGCGCTGTGTATGCTTTCATTACTCATTTCAAATTGCTATAACTTTTTTGCCAGTTAACATTTGGTACTGTTTATGAAAAAACTTTATTTCCACACCTTTTTCATAGAGAAGGTATACTTCCTCTACAACGCTGGAGGTGATGGTTTTCGAGATATTTACAATTTTCTAAATCGATGCAAAATACTTGGCTCCTAGGACGCTAAGTGAAGTTGCTGTGAACATTACTAAAACTAAGCGTTTTCCTTTAAAAATCCCAACAATGTGTACTTCGAAAACGAATGATTTTTCGATAAAAATTTTAAAGGAGAAAGTTGTTTATTTTGACTAGATCCACCACACACTTGGTTTTTGTAATCTTATCAGCAACTTCTCTTAGCTCTGGGAGCTAAGTAGGTAATATGCATCGATATGGACAATTATGAATATCTCGAAAACGATCACCTCCAACGTTGTTGAGGAAGTGTAGCTTTTTTACTTGAAAAAGGTGTGGGAATTATAAAAATTTTTTTCAGCACCTTGTATCTTCGAAACGAAGAATTTCCGGACACAAGTTTATATAGACTTTTTGCGAGAATAAAATATTAAATTAATCAGTTTTCTGCATTTCTATCAATATATTGTTTTAATAAATAAGAATCGCTTCGGAATATGATACAAATACTA